TATTCATTTTTAAAAACCATTTTACAAATTTTAAAAAAAACGATAAATTTAATTACTGTTACTAATGCTACGATTACCACCGCCATCATTCTGCTACCACTTCTGTTATTGCTACCACTTAAGAATCAAACCCGGCAAACGTTTTTAAATGGGAGGAAATTAAAAATATTCAATTTCTTTTTTTTCGATAAATTATTTCGTGTTTATTATTATTATTATTATGTTTTTAAATTAATTACACGATCACGATCGTTTCGTATCATATTATTCAATAATAATAATAATAATAAAGACGTTTGTTTTATTTTTAATGGAATTTTTCTTCCAGCAAATGATAATAAAGGAAAAACTAAAAGAAAAAAAAAATTTTGATTTCTTAACGACGTTGATTTGTTAAATTGTAAAAAATAAAAAAGGAGAGAAAAGAGAGAGAGAGGGAAAGAAAAAGAGAGAAAAAGTCAGAGAGAAAGAGAAAGAAAAAGAGAGAGAGGGGGGGGGAAATATAAAAAAATCATTTCATGGAAACATTTTATCACAAGACATAAACTAAATTCTAAAATGTAAAAGAAAAAGAAAGTAGTTCGACGAAAATACATTTTTTTACAAATTCAATTTCTTACGTAATAATAATAATAATAATAATAATAATAATAATAATAATAATAATAATAATAATAATAATAATAATAATAATGATAATGATAGTGATGATAATAATTATTCCAGGATTTTTCTGAGAGATCTAGATCTCGGTCGATCAAGGGGCAAATTCTCGGAAAATTATTATTCTTTTTTTTTTTTTTTAATATTTCCAGAAAATTTTTCTCATTATTTAATATTTCCTCCCTTCCTCCCTCTCTTCCTTCCTTCCTTCATTCCATCCATTTTTTTATTTAATTCTTTCATCCCTATTATTATTATTATTATTATTAATTTTTTTTTATTTATTTCACGAGCGCGTCCTCCTTATTCCTTTTTCGAATTAAATCACTTTTAATAGATTTTTATGATAAAGGTGTGATAACGATCGTAAATTTAATAAAAAAAAAAAAAAATCGTTTCAATACGAACGAACGATTTTAATTTGATCTTTTCCTTTTTTCCTTTGACGACGCATAAATAAATTTAAATAAAAAAATTTGATATCTAAATTTTTTTTTTTTTTTTAACGTGATACGAAATCGATTTTTTTTTTTTTTAAGGGTTGGCATTCGTTGTTTTTGCATTATCATAAAATATTTATTTAAGTTGGTACCACTTATTAATAGGTATTTATTGTTTTTTTTTTTACGTAAATATACAAATTTTTTTCTCAATATGGATTCGATATATCGAAATTTTTTTTTAAATCGATATTTTACACGTCACGTGTTAATCATTTCTTTTTTTTATTCCGATGGAAAATTGTAAATAAAAAAACAACGGGGGGAAGGGGGGGTGGGGAGAAAATCTGATTTTACGAGTTTAATTCTTGAGGAAAAATTTTTTTTCTTAACGTATTTTAAGAAATTTTTATACCTCGTGAAAATAGAAAGAAAAAACAGGTTGAAATGGTAGGAAAAAGGATTTATTTAAAAATTGGTGAGGTAGTAAAGGAGGAGGAAGAGGAGGAGAAGAAGAAGGAAGGGGAGAAGGAGAAGAAGGAAGAGAATAAAAAAAGGTTGTAAGTTAAAAAAAAAAAAAAAAAGGAAAATAAGTTTTTTTTTTTTTTTAATTCCACATCCCCGTTCCTAAATTTAAACAATTCATAAAGTTATGAAAAGTGAAAGAGAAAGAAAGAGAGAGAGAGAGAGAGAGAGAAAACTTATTTTTATCCCAACTTTTTTTTTTTTTTGTAGTTTTCGGTTGTTGGAATTTATTAATTTTGACCGACGTATATAAAGGTTTTGAAGGTTTTTTTTTTTTTTTTAAATGAAAAAAAAAAAAGGCAACAGGAAAAAGGATGGAAAATTAAACATTTTTCAAACATTTTCCTTCGTTTTAAAAAAAGTTTTAAATTAATTTAAAAAAATAAAATAAAAATTTTTTTTTTGTTTTTGAAAAAGGACCGAAAAAATTATAAAATAATTGGTTTGAGGGCAATCGAAAACAACCCCCTTCCCCCAGGCCCCCTCCCCCGATTTTTTTTTTTGTTTTAAATTAAAATTTCCTATTGTTTGTATCGATTTAAAAATCTGCCGATAACCGGATAAAGTTAAATAAAAATTAACGTGATTTTTTATTTATTTATTAATAAATTCTATGTAAATATAAATAAATAAATACTTCAAGAGACTTTATTTATTTTTTTTTCTTATTTATTTAATTTACTACGTCTCCTATTAATTATTAATCGTGTTATTTGACAAATTTTACATTTTTTTTTTTTTTTTAAATAATTCCATGAGAGAGAGAGGAAAAGCGGAAATGTGCTCGGGAATATTTTCTTTTTTTTTTTACTTTCCCTTCCGGTTTTAAATATTTATATTTAAAAAAAAAAATACCCTCCGCCCCGACATCTATGATCGCGTTTACGAATTAAATGTTTTTTAATTATAAAATCAAATAATAGATGTCGCTAGTTACGTTGTACTACGATCAACATAAAATTAATTTCTTTTTTTTAAACGAACCTCCTTACATGTTATGTTTTTCTGTTAACATTATATTATTTACTGTTTAATTTTAATAAAAATACATCATTTATTTTTTGTCTTTAAAAAAAATCCGATAGAGTGCTCTGTAAACATGATTTTTTGAATTTTCGCGCGATAATTTTAGGTTTATTATTTATTTTAGGAAAATTTTCATTTTTTGGTAAAAAAAATCGATCGTTTTTTTTTTAATAAATAAATAACTCAATATATTATTAATATTATTATTATTATTATTATCACTTTTAATCTCGACAAATTTTACGTATTGCTTTAGGGTTTTATTGAAAATTTCTACCCGTTTGTTCTAAAATAAATAAATGAATGATGATGATGATAATAATGGTGATGATATTAATATTTCTAGAAACGTTTCGAACAAATTTTCTTTTCCGTCGTTTCTTTTTTTTTTTTTAATAGTAGTAAACGTAGCTTTGAATCCATTTTCCATCATTTCCCGTTTTTACTTTTCCACATCCCGGGGATCCATTGTTTTAACAGGATTTTAAGCGTGTGTAGGATGACGTATCTGCTTTTAATAGTTTATTGTTAATATTTTCCCATTTTCTTTAATAAAGATTTTAAAATATTTCATTTATTATTATTATCATTATTATTATTACATATTAAAAAACGTCGAATTTTTTTGTAACGGTAAAAATTATCGAAATGATATTAAAAATTATTGACACCGGTTGAATGTAATAAAAAACGTTTGTTTCTTTTTTTTATTCGACTGAACTTTTTCAATAATTTAATACAAATGGAAAAAAAAAATAAAACTAAGAATAAAACGAAACAATAAAAACTTTAAATGAAATAATAATAATAATGATAATAATGATGATAATAAAAAAAAGGAACAATGAGAAATAAAAAAAAAAAAATAGTAACTTGTAAAAGTCGTTTGTTAATTAAATAAATAAAAAGAAAATTTTTTTATTTTTATTTTTTTTTCGGTTGTTGTTTGTTTTTTTTTTAACAACAACAAATTTAATTTTTTTTTTAAAACATATGTGTGACAATCGATTTGTGACGACAATCAATTCTTTGTGTAGAAAAAAAAGTGGGAGACGAAAAGGTTCCATCGTGAAAAAATTTTATGTTACGATCGTAATAAATAATTGAGAAAAAAAAGAAACCGATAAAAAAAGGGATGATGAGAGAGAGAGAGAGAGAGAGAGAGAGGGAGTGAGGGACAGATAGTGAAAGAGAAAGAGAGAAAAAAAAATTTATTTTAATTGATTTCCAGCAGCATCCCCCAATCGATTTAAATTCAAAAAAAAAATAAAAAAAAATTTAATTTATTCGCATGAATTCCATGCACGAAAAAAAAAAAAAATTTCCAAAAATTTTAATATACCTTAATAATAATAATAATAATAATAATAATAATAAAGAACCTAAAAGAAGAAACCATCCAGGAAATCGCACTATGTGGGACGGCCCACATTCTTCGGAAAATATTATAAGTAGCACCACCGAAATTCGAGTATTTGTCCCTAAGGAATCGGGTAGAAACCTGGGATAAATGCTTAAAAACCCCGACAAATAAGAGCCTTGTCGTGTTTAATAGTGGATAATAATAATAATAATAATAATAATAATAATAATAATAATAATAATAATATTTTCAATAAAAAAAAACAATGGATGGGATGTTTACATCTTACGAGATAATAAGTAAAACTTAATTAATTTTTTTTTTTGTTATATTAAATATTATTATTAATATTATTAAACGACACCGACGATTCCCTGGAGATTTACAAAACATAAAACTTACCTTTTTTACAAAAATTAATAATTTAAAAAATTCTTTTAATAATAATAATAATAATAACAACAAAAATAAAAAAATATCCAATTAAAAAAATAAAAAAAATTAATCTCCGGTAAATCTCTCATCAATCAAAATAAAAAAAAAATCACTTTTCTCATTCACATTATCATTATCATTATTATTATTATTATTATTATTATTAATAATTTATTTATTTATTTCGTGTATTAATCAATAATTAATAATTTTTTATGTATACGTAAGTGAATCGTCGTCAATCCATAAACAACAATACGGTTTTTTTATTTTTAAACTTTAAAATAATTTTCAAAACTACACGCACACGCGCACGCACCCACGCACATACGTCACAAGATATTTTTAAATTACTGGAAAAATAATAATAATAATAAAACTTTTCTTTTTTTTTATTCGATTGCGATTCGCTATATATGAGTTAAATTTATCAAATCGATATAAAAAAAAAATCAATCAATCAATGGAAATTTTATTATACTCAAATTGTTATTATCATTATCATCATTATTATTATTATTAATCGTTATTATTAATTTTCTTTTCAGGTGATCTTTTCCTACTGGTTTTCAGCATGGATTCAAGAGAATCATTCGAAGAAGTTATACGTCTTAGAGAGCAAATACTCGAAACGAAATTAAGTGCGACCGTTAACAGTAGCGGAGTAAGGAAAAGATCGACGAATTTAAGAGTTCCAATGGTTATTGTTGGAAACAAATGCGATAAAGAAATGAAGTAATCAACTAATTTTTTTTTTTTCTTTTTCCTTTCCATTGAATTTCCATTTTGAATTATCCATTTTGAATTTTCCATTTATCATTTTATCTTTTTATCAAAAGTTCTTATCAATTTCCTTTTTTTTTAAAACAAATATATATAAATTTTTCCTTTGTTTCCATTGTGCCTTTTTCATCACGTATTTTTATGACATTTTTTCTTTCTAACCTACTCCCCCCTCCTCCTCCTCTTCATCCTCTTCTTCTCCAGAAAAAAAAAAATCCAGGTTGCGTTTTTTTTGGAAAAATTTTTCCATGTCATTTTTCTTCGGATTTTAAAAAGCCACAAAATCTGGAAATTTTATCCTCTTCTCCCCCCCTCCACCCCCCTAATTTTTTTTTTTTCATCCATTTTTCTGAAAACCTTTTTTTTTTTTTTGCTCCTTTTATCATCTTACTTCCGCACATCTTTCGACTGGAATTACGTAAAACGGACATTTTAACATAATTTTTTCCGACTTTTCTTTTTTTTTTTTTTTTGCTGTTGTTTACCCATTCACGAATAGACATGTTTATTTAATGCCACGTAAATCCTTTTTGACAAAATCATCCTTTCAAAACCTTTTTATTATCAATCTTTTATCCTTTTTTTCCTTTTCTTCTTCTACTTATCATTATCATGACAACAACAACAACCGTTAAACTTATCATTTACGTTTATTGCAAAAAATTTTCCTTTTTTTTTATTGTTTTAAAACTGACGTCACGTCCGAACGTTTTACCATAACCGGAAACTTCATCTTTTTTTTTTTAACCAATTAACTAATAAATAATAATAATAATACTACTACTAATAATAATAATAATAATTAAGTTAAAAATCATCGGGAAAAAAATTTATTTTTACGTTTTGCTTTGAATTTTTGTTTTGTTTTCGACGCCATTTACAATAATTTTTCTTTTAAAAAAATTTATTACGTCATTTTTGTTTGTTTGTTGGTTTGTCGTATCGTTTCGGACGCGTTTGTTTTTTTTTAATAAAAGTTATTTTGTCGTTTAAATTATTAAACCGAGAAATTAATACACTCTAACTTCGTGTCAAAAAAAAAAAAAAAAACTTTTCGAATTGATTTACGACTTTAACAATTTACCTGGATAAAAAATGTCCGAGGGGAGGATGTGGGGGGGTTCAGGGGGTGGGTGGGAAAAGGAGTAACTCGAAAAGTCCATGAAAAAAAAAAAAAAACAAATATTTAATGTAAAATTAGAGAGAAAACCGTAAAAAAAAAAAAATGGTAAAACGTGGAAATAAATTTAAACAAAGTGTAAATTATAACTTGAATAATGATAATAATGATAATGATAATAATAATTAACGATATTTTTTTTTAAATTTATTTAGAACTGTCACACTCGACGAAGCCAAATCGTTCGCGGCAACTCAAGACGAAAATTGTTCGTTTGTCGAAACGTCGGCAAAGAAAAACATTCGCATAGATGATTTGTTTCACGAATTGTTTGTCGTTTCCGGTTTACCCTTAGAAATGGCGCCAAATCATCATAAGAGAATAAACGCACAATTCGGAAGTCCTTGCACTTTGCCACCATCCGCGACATCATCTCCGAAATCTAAAAAATGTACAATTTCCATTAAAAGAAGGCTTAGCGATGCTTGCGGAGTCGTCGCTCCCAACGTTCGAAGGCCGAGCATAAGAACGGATTTGATGATGATGAGAGCGAAAACGTCACATTGTTTAGGTACCGGAACCGGAAGTGGTAAAACATCGAGGGAAGGTGGAATATCGAATACGCATAATAAATGTATACTTCAGTGAACAAAAAAAAACAAATTTTTCCTATTACATTTCCCTCCCCCCTTCAGAAGTAAAAAAAAAAAAAAGAAATTTTTTTTTTCGTTAGTTTCCATTTCCGGTTTGTCGATCAATGAATGCATTTCCGTTAAAATTTCTTTTTTTTTTTGAAAAATGTGTCGTTTTTTTAAATAATTGTACATACGTGTAATAAAAAATAATTTTAATTAATATTAAACTTCCCTTTTTTCCTTTTTTCCTTTTATAAATCGACGTAATAAAAAAAAAGGAAATTTTCCAGATTTAAAATTTTCAATTAATTTTTAAACTTAAATCTCTTGGTCTTATAAAAATAAAGAAAATTCTGGAAAAATGCGATAAAATCCTAAAAGTAAAAATTAATTTTTTTTTTTTTCACTTCCCTTAGAAAAATCGTAAAAACATTATTTATATAAAACACATTTTTTTTTTTTTTTTCAATTAAAGGATAAACAACAACAATAATAATAGTAATAATAATGATAATAAAACACGTGTTACCGGAAAAATTTTACCCGTAAATATTTAATAGAATAAATAACGGAATTTCGAAATAGAAATTTCAAATCGAAAAGAAAAAAAAAAGAAAAAAATTTTCCGCACGCTCTAAACTCTCTCAATCGTCACCATCGTGAATTATTTAAAAACAAACGAACAAACGAAAAATTTATAAATCTAACGTTCGAACGTATAAAACAATAAAAAAAAAATTTTTATTTAAAAAAAAAAATCACGTAACTAAAACGGTGAACGTATATAAAAAAAAAACGCAAAACGAATATAAATTAAAAAATTTTTAACAAAAAAATCCCCGACAAACAGAACAACAACAACAACAACAACAACTTCCCGTTCCCGTCCCCCTTTCCTCCCCTCTCCCCTAAAAAAAAAAATCCCCGATAAATAACCATTAAAAAAAAAAGTTTTTCCACCAAAAAAAAATTTTTTTTTTAAACGTAATTAACAAAAATAATAAAAAACGCACGTTACTTACGCATAAAACGCCTGTTTAAAAAAAAAATTTACGCGCGTAATACGCATGCGTTTAAAAAAAAAAAAACAAAAAGTTTAAATTTACCAAAAAAACTTTTACGCGAAAATTAATATTTACAACAACAACAAATTTTAATGAAACTTTTTCTTGTTTTTTAAGCCAAATTTAAAACTTAAAAATTTTAATAACAAATTCAACCCTTGATAATTTTATCCAGAAAAATTATTAAGAGAGAGAGAGAGAGAAAAGGGAGTGATAGAAAATTAATTCGTGTGAATGAATCAACCCGCCCCCCCCTCGAAAAATAATAATTAAATTGAAAACAAACAAACAAGTATCGTTATTGTTACTTTTGGTTGTTTGTCAATAATTTTCGTTTGAAAAAAAAAGGTCTTATTGAAATAAAATAATATTTTTCCCCACGGGATTAAATAATTAATGACACGTTCGTTTTGTCATTATCCACCCCTCAAGGTTACGATTGATATCCTTCCTTCCACGTTCGAAAAAAAATTTTTTTTTAATTTTTTTTTTTTTTTTTTTTTAGACGAAAGTTTAAAACGAAAAATTACGATGAAATTTTTCCCTTCCCCCTCCCTTCCTCCCCTCTACCCTTTTCCTCCCTTATAAATTCTAATTCCACGTTTTTATTTTTAGAAAAAAAATTTTTTTTTTTTTTCCGAGTAAAAAAAATTTATTTATTATTTGAACGTACGTACGGCAAAAATTTAAGTCACATAAATTACATCGTTTCCCCCCCCCCCTTTCCCCCGCCAGAAATTATTTCTTTTTTTTTTTTTAGTGTTTGTTTTGGTTGTTTGTTTGTTTGTTTGTTTGTTCGCCGTCGTCGTGTTTTTTTATTCCCTTCGCATTTTTCTTTTCGTTTTAATTTTCTTGAATCGCGTCGTTGTCAGCTACGAATTAAAAAATTTTTTTCCCCCTTCATTTTTCAGTTTTCCCCCCACGCACACACGCACACACGCACTTACACGTACACCCGCACCCACACACTTGAATTTCACCATTTTTAAACCAAATTTTTTTTTTTTTTTTGGATATGATAAGAATCTAACCACAGAACAAATTATCATTCACTATCACACACACACACACAAGTTCTTATCATTCATTTCCGTTTTTACACACAAAAATCTTGTCAGTATTTATAATCCGTTTTAATTAAACAAACATTAAATACGATTATGCATTTAATTTAACATTTTCTTTTATCCCACGCAAATATTTTTATACAATTTAAATTTAATTAATTATATAATTTATATATATATATTTAAAATCGATTACATTTGAAATTAACGCGTAATTATCCCCCCATTTTTTTTTCATTTTCCCTCTTATCATTTTAATAAATTATTAATAATATGATTTCATATCATTCCTAATATTATTTATCATTATCATCATTATCATCATTATTATTACTTTCTTATTGTTGATAATAATATTATGAAAAATTTGTTTTTTTCCCCCCTCCTCCCCCATTCATTTGAGTTTTCTTGTTTAATATTAAAACGTGTAATTAAATAAAGAGAAAAAATGAAATGAATTAAAATTCATTTTTCATTCGACTAAAAGTTTAAATTATATGTTTTCGATTTTGTTTAATAATTTTTTTTTTTTTTTTTTCAGCATGTTTGATAAAGAAAATAAAGTTTCCAGAGACAGATAAGTTTGAAGAATTAATATAGTTTAATGATAAGTATAAGTTTAATATAAAAATAACATTCCCATGCACACTTTTATCGACATTAACATTTCGATTGGGTTTTCGTTATTAAGTCATGTCGATTAATTAAACATAAAAAAATAATTTTTTAAAAAAAATGTTCAAAATGATTTTAAAAAGCGAGTAAAAAAAATGAGTAATTTTTAGGAAAAACCTATTTTAAGTTTCTTTTTTTTCATGAGTGAACAGAACTAATGAAGAGCTTGAAAATCCAGAGCCGAATTTAATATATATATAATTCGATTGTGAATTATAATACTCTAATCAAGAAAATAAATTAAAATAGGTAACTTAATTATTACTGTGCAAGCTGACATATAAAAATAAAGAGAATCAAACCTTGAAAAGTAACAATATTTCATCTTTAAACTAAAAATTTGTAAAATTTTTTACATGGTTTTATCATCATTTTGGATTAGCTTTTTTCACATCTTTTTTTTCGGCTACCTCGCAATGTTCTCTCAAAACTTTATCGATAAATTTTCGTAACTTATCTTCATCTTGAAGTCCTATTAGTTTATCAACAACTTCACCATTGTCCATGGCTAAAATTACAGGTACAGAACCCACCTGAAACAATTAATTAGAAAATAATCTTTACCAAAACAATAAAATTTATGAATTGTTTTATCTAACAGTTTAAATTATTTAAATTACAGGAAAGTAAGTCTTTTTTTGTTTTTTTGCTAACATTGATAAGAATTTTGGGATTTGGTAAATAAAAAAAATTTAAGACTCACTTCATAATCTAAAGCAAGATCAGTATTTTCGTCAATATCAACTTTTGCTAAAATTATTTTTCCTTTTCTTTCGGCAATTACGGTTTCCAAACGAGGTGTTAACAATCTGCACGGATTACACCATCTAAAATTTTTTTAAAGGAAAATTTAATAATCAACGAAATTGATTAGTCGTTTTTATTCGATAAAAATATTTAATAAATAAACTTACGTAGCAAAAAAATCAACTATAACTGGTACTTTGCTGTTTTTGACTCTGTCATTAAAATCTTTTACATCTTGAACCTTAAAAGATTCGTTTAAATTTGAAGTTGAAGAAATTGATTTATCGCTTGCTGTTTGAGGTATTCTACATGGTAGTCTAGCTTTAAGTTTTTTTAATATGGCAAAACGCATCATTTTAAGATAAAGCCAAAAGCTGACAAAACCGGTAATATTGTTTTTTTTTGTGATGAAATTATTGCTACTTTCGGATTTTACACAGTTAAAAAAAAAAAAAAAAAAAAAAAAAAAAATAAGTGAAAGTTATGAAAGTTGGGTTCGATCAAAGCCTTCAAGATTTTATTTTCACAAAACTAAATTGTCATCTTTCAAATAATAAAAAAAACCTTTTTTTATTTTCGTTTATTTAAAAAAGTGTTATAAAACTTTTTAAAAAAACTTAAAATAATTTTTTTTTAAAACTTTACCAAAAAAAAAATTATAGTCATTAATTGTGCATTTTGAGTTATGAGAAATAAAGTTGGTAGCATTGGTTCACCAAACGGTAGTCTATGTGAAAATGGCTACTGAGGTGGAAAAATCTCAGTTTGCCGTTCCCGAAGCGGATACAATTTTTGGAAAAATACTTCGTAAAGAAATCGATTGCAAGTTTATTTATGAAGACGATCAATGTGTTGCTTTCAATGATATAAATCCGCAGGCGCCTGTTCATTTCTTAGTGATTCCTCGCAAACCAATTAGTCAATTATCTAAAAGCCAAATGGAAGATGAACAACTTCTTGGTCATTTATTATTTGTCGCTCAAAAAGTTGCGGCTCAAGTCGGATTGAAAAATGGTTTTAGAACTGTGATCAATGATGGAAAAGAAGGATGTCAAAGTGTTTATCATCTTCACATTCACGTATTAGGTGGTCGTCAATTATCTTGGCCTCCCGGTTAAATAATAACTTCATTTCAGATTAATCTACAGAACATCTTTTACTGTATTGTAATCAATAAAAAAGTTATTTAAGCAATGAGCTACTAACACATTAAAAAACAACTATTATCGATGGTATTCTTTTAATAAAGACTTTTTATCATTTGCAAAACATTTATTTTTCTCGAATAACCTATAAGGAATAAAATACAAAATTAAAAAAAAAAAAAAAACTTCAAAGAATTATCATTATTTTAATGTACCTAATTTCAAGTAACTGTAATTTATCGATTAAAAGTTCTGCACCCTGAAATAAGTTACTATTTGAAAGATCATGTTAAATTTTTTTTTCACAATTTTTACCAAGTGTTATAAAACCTCTTGTATTATTTTTATCTAAAACACTGAATTTAAATAATTTTTTAGATTTATAAGAGGGATTAGTATTTTATAAAATTAGGAAAAAGAAATTATGTAAATCTTTTCTTTTTTTTATATTCAAAAAACAAATTTTTGCCTTCCTTGTGTTTTATTGCTCATCAATTAGCCTATAAAATATTTCATTTGCTTATCAGAAAGATGATCAGAAAGATTTTTATCATGGTGATAAAAAAGTTAAAAAAACAATGGTTAAAATCTGAATTATAAATCAAAAGTAAAATACCTTAAAATGAGTAAACAATAGGGGAGGGGGGAAATGAAATGAAATTCTTAATGTTGATAATTAAAATAAAGGAAAATAAATGAAAAAAAAAAAAAAAAAAATTACTTTACTGTTTTAAATGTATTTATACATACAAAAACAGTCAGTTTACATGTCATTTTGAGATCTGTGACCAACAACAGGACGATGGTTTTTAGCGAGGAAGTCTGCAAACTCAGCATATGGAGCTTTGGTCAATGGACAGTCCTTCCATAAATCAGGAGTCAAGTAAGCATATGTTTTTGCAATAGCTGCATATGTTGCCTTGGCTGAAATATAAAAATTACTTGATGTAAGTATGTCATCATAACTTTTTATGTGTTGGTAATATGTTTAAAAAAACAAAACTAATATACTTTTAAATAAAAAAACTAAATGACTCACCAAAATTACCCAATGTACCAGTGGAACCTCTTGCAGATGTGTAACAATCTTCTATACCAGCCATTTGAAGCAATTTTTTTGGAACTGGAGCTCCTACAATACCAGTTCCACGAGGAGCAGGAATCAAACGTACTTGTACGGAACCACATTTACCAGTAACCTGTAAAAATTTCATAAAATTTTTTATTACAAAAAATATCAAATATTTTAAATGTAATTCTTATAATTATAGAATATGACCTCAGCTGGTAGTGCATGATTCTTGTATAATCATTTATTTCATTGTGTGGTGATTTAAGTGTCATCATAAGCCATTAAATAAAAATTATCAAACAAGTAGTTCATTAATATGCTTACCTTGCATGGCACAGTATGAGGTTTACCAATCTTATTACCCCAATAACCTCTTCGAACTGGAACAACAGATAATTTAGCCAAAATAATAGCTCCTCTAATAGCTGTTGCTACTTCTTTGGAGCACTTAACTCCAAGCCCAATATGTCCATTTGCATCACCAATGGCTACAAAAGCCTAAATGCAAAAAAAGTAATTAATATTTTACAAATTCCAAGATATATCACACATCAAACTTAATTTATTCAAATTCTAGTAAATTTACCTTAAATCTAGTTCTTTGACCAGCTCTAGTTTGTTTCTGTACGGGCATAATTTTAAGAACTTCATCTTTTAGGGCTGGCCCAATAAAAAAGTCAACGATTTCAAATTCTTTGATTGGTAGAGAGAAAAGGTAAATTTCCTCCAAGCTTTTAATTTTACCACTGCTAACTAATCTTCCAAGTTTGGTGACGGGCACCCATTCTTTTTCTGTTTCTTTTCCTCTGCCTCTTCCACGACCTCTACCTCTACCTTAAAAAATATAAATGACTTAAGAAATTGCCATACTGAAATATGGGTTGTCCACGTGCACAATTTTTTGGGGCTCTGTTGGAGTTATAGTTAATGCTATTGAGTATCACCTAATATAATAATAAAGAATACTTTATTCTAAAATCTTACCTCTGCCTCTAGAACCTCCTCGTCCACTATCTTTTCCACCTCCTCTGCCGAAGCCACGACCACGGGCTGGTGCAGTGTCCGCCATTTTCTATTAAACAATTATTTCAAATTATTTAACAAAAAATTAAAATCTAACATTAAAAAACTATAAAATTACACTTAAACTTAAATTACTATTATTTCAGATTATAAATTCAAGTAAATAATAAATTGAAATATGTATGATAAATCTAAATTACCAAGTGTGATACTTACTCTATCTTCGACTTATGAAAACCGGAAGAAGAATGAAGAATACAACATGGTTTACATTTGAGCATAAAAGTTTATTTATTCTATGATTTTCATAATCCACGTTTTCAACATTACAATTTTTACAATAGAAAAACTTTAATAGCAATCAATCATTAAAATAATTTCGTTTTATTGTATTGGAAGTGCTTTTTTTCTTAAATATATACTAAAAAAAAAAAAAAAATTGATTAAGGGGAATAAAAAAAAAGGGCCAACGGCACGTGGTGTTCCCAAGCGGTCACCCATCCAAGTACTAACCACGCCCGATGCTGCTTAACTTCGGTGATCGGACGAGAACCGGTGGGTTCAGCATGGTATGGCCGTTGACGGTGGGATATCTAATATTTTTTTAACTTAAGCTGTTTACATTAAAGCAATATATGTTGTGTTTAAGCTGTTATTACTATTTAAACTTTACGTTAAATACGTAGTTTAAATAATAAATTTATTAAAA